GGCATCTGTGAGCAGTTGGATGGACTGGTGACAGCAGAAGCGGATTGGACCAGCCTGGGATCAGGTATGCCAAGCTGTTGAGGTACTGATCCAGAAGAGCACAACTGCCCCACATGGACTGGGACCTATGATCCATAATGTTTGGGGGTGGATGACAGGGAATCACGTAATATTGTTGGATGTGGCCCCCATTATGTATTGAACAGATCAGTGTCAGTGGGGAATCACGTAGCAGGATGGATACCCCTGCACTTATGTCACAGCACATTATGAGTGAATGACACAAAGGCCTGGTGGGGTGGCCGTAAGCTCATAGATAGAGTGCCCACTGATTGGCCCATGGAAAATGCCTTATGGGTCCGTGGCACTATGGGTTGGCCATACCTCCAAGTGCATTGGATGGGGCACTGTGCCTAGGGATTTCCCTATATTAAAGGTACTATCAAGCCCCCTCTGATAGACACACCCCACAATATGGATGCTGTGTATCATAAATGGTACCATGTCAATTGGATGGCCTCTTGGTTTTATCCTATGGCAGTACTGGGACCAGGGGCAGGGAATATACACCTAGCCCTCCAAGTTGAAGCTCTAGCTCAATGCGTGGCTCAGGCCCTAAATATCATGCACCAGTCTCTAATGTTGCTCATGGATGAAATATCCTAGATGAGAAACTAGCCTTACAGAACCGTATGGCTCTGGATTTGCTGAGTCCAACACAGGGAGGCACTTGTGCCCTCCTACATACAGAAATTGTATTTTTATTCCTAACCACCAGGAACAAGTACAAGAGGCCTTGCAAGAGATGAACATAGAGGTGTCTGCCATCCAGGCCTTGCAACAAGACCCCCTGACCCAGTGGTGGGAATCCCTAGGATACACCTGGTGCTGAGTGGCTCTCCATGGTCCTGCAATAGCAATGGGTTTGGTGCTTATGTATTGTTTCTTGTATTGCTTTTGTAGGCTCTGGGATCAAGGGACAGTCTTGTATGCCATTCCCAAGAATTAGCATCCCCCCAATCTTTGAAAAAGTGGGATATAGGGGGGGCCATGAGATGTGTCAAAGCCCAGGCATCTGAGGGTGCCTAAGGGCACCTGAGGACACAACCTCATAGTTCAGCGCAGGCACATGATGGGCCTTTGTTATATAATAATGAATCAGCATAAACAACCCGGTATGTGGCACAAAACATGGAAGGTTGGCCAGAATATTTTCTCTTACTCTGTCTTAGTAAGCTGCTACAAAGATACCATAAGTACTTTGAGGGAACATAAAACTGGATTCCTGCTTTTGTAATGTTTGCTCCACTCATGTGGAACTTCACCTGACCAGCCCTGCCTTCAGTCCACTGGCCTCGAGAGAATAACTAAGTTTTCAAAACTGAAACCACTTTACACGTGCATCAGTATTTGACACTATCAATCCTTTAATTTCATAAGCTATACACAGTAGGTCCCAACTGATGAATGAGTTCCATTCCAGAAGAACATTCATAACTTGGATTCATTCATAAGTCCAAAAAAGTGAGTCTTATACACACACCTTTGACACAAATATACAATGTATTGCATAAAAAACCCAAACACACACAAAAATTCTGTGCATAAATTATTTTTACTTTTACAATAAACTTAAAATGATAAGGTAGACATGTGAGCTACTTCCATAATTTGTTCTCAACTACGAATGTTCCTAATTTGAGGTCCATTCATATCTGTGAAATTTTGCAAGTCGAATGTTTGTAAGCTGGGGATTTACTGTATTTCTTTGGAGATCAAATTTTATCTATTCCTCTGTGGGCTCTATAGCCCAATTTTGGCCCTTCAATGCCTTTGAGTCTGTCAAAAGCTCTGCTCACCTTCTTTGTCCCTTAGTTCCCTATATTTGGAAAACACATGTCGGGGAAAATGACCCCAAGTTTTGAGGTCACCCCCCTGGGTTTCGTTTTTCCCTTAGGGCTTTTCCCTAAAGTTGCCTCAGTACCTTAGAAAGTATGAATGTAGTTTTTTATATCTATATCCTGACTTAGTGGAAAGTAGCCCAGTCTTATTGCTCAAAATTCCTCAAGATTTAGAAATGAACAAATACAAGGAGGATTGTAAACAAGAGAAACTGTAGATAAACCCTGAACATCACTGGGTTTTTAACTAGGAAATTCGCAATATGAGCATCACATAGATGAAAAATGTATACATTAACCTTTGTCTAACTTTCTTCTCAACTCTAAACATAGACATGTTAATCATTTAAGGATTGTGGGTCTGAGACTAGTAATAAAAGATTAATTACTCTGAAATTCATCTAATCTATCTCCTTCCCTGCCCCATGGAGACTAAAGACACCAAGATGAGCGTAAGACATTGCCCAGATTTATAGAGCCAATAGGAGCAAAGATTATCAAGAAAGGTTTCATAATTTCCTGTCCTGTGTCACTGGAATGGCACATAGAAGTCCCCAGTCATCAACTCTTTCCTAAACTAAGTCCCCATTATTTTCCTCTTACCTAAGAATTAAAGGCTCTTGTACCCTAGCTGAGTGAAGATGGTCTATGTAGGCCATAGCTTCCCACCTTCTCTAGATCCTTATGGATATCTGGAGCAGACTGAGTAATAAAATGCATCTTTAAAACAAGTTGGACTTCTGAGCCATCCGTATACAGAGCTGTAAAGCACTGGAGGGTTGCAGACCAATAGGACATCAACTGAGTCAGGACTTCTTATTGAGTGTATTGTCTACTGACTTGATTGGCCTGACTAATTTATTGAAGCCTCTTTATCTCACAGTTGTAAAGACTCTGACCTTGGTCCTCAGGCCACAGCCTTGGGTGTGCACACCAGACAACAGGAACCTAGGTTTTAGCCAGGCCCTCTATCACTGTTTTTCCCCTTTTCTCTCTTAAGCCACCTGCCTGCACATTTTGCACTCTGTTGTAACTCTCCACTAACTTCTGGTGGATGGCCCCATTATTTTCAACAATTTCTAGGGAAAATGGTTTTCCAATGTGATGAAATTAGGGTTTGGATTTTTCTCTGACACAGCCTTTGAGTCTGGTCTTTGAGTTTCTGGCCCCAGGCAGGCTCTTGTGTCCCTCCTTGACCCATGAAAACTGTCAAATGGCCTGCAGTTTAGCTATTACTTTCATGAACCTCCTACACCCTGCCCCCTTAATTGATTTACCTCCAAAATACGTATTGTTTGTGGCCTCTGTGTCTGGTCTTTGCACCTAACCTCTCCCACTGTGGATCTTTCTTCTATGGGCAACTGAGGTGAAGCCAGTGTGGCCCACTCTTCCCAATCTGCTGGGCTGGGGTAATGTTACTGCCCACGATGGGAGCCACAGGAGGAGGATTTCCCTGGGTGTCTCAGGCACTGTTGCCTTAAACAGAGCTGGTAAGCATGGAGCTTTGTAAGGAGCTCCGTGGGAAACGCAAGCTCCATGGGAATATGAGATTGCTGGAGGCCTTTCCCTCTCAGGGAGATACTATATTCTCCATGTAGAAGTTAGGGGAGATGTGGTTGGCCTCACACGCCTAGAACTGAGCTTGTATCACACTGAGGAGAGGGGGAAGGGTGGAAGAAACAAGATACAACTTGAATTGTAGCTCTCTTTACCAAGATTTACTAGCTTTTTCTTGAATAAAAGTTTCTTCATTTTCTGAATGCCATACAACAATTTTGAAAGAATTTTGTGTTTCATAATTAATGTCTTATATAGGATCATATTTTAGTAAGAAATGCATGAGAAGAGCCTCTACTGCTATTATACAGGTAATCATCGCTACCATTATTTTTAACGCACAACAATTAAAAAGAGAAAGAGGGAGATACGTATTCTAAATCCCTGTTGATATAAGAACAAATAAATTGTGACATATTAATACAAGACTACCTAACTGTCAAATCGAATGAATAAGTGCCATGTCCATAAATCAGGAGAATAATGTGGAAAAGGGAGCAAGACAATTTAAAAAGTTGTTGTGTTGTAGAAAAAAAATTCCTACATAAATATTAGAAATAGTGTATAATTGCATAACAACTGTATTAAAGCTGAAACGTGGACTGAAAGGACACATGCTAAATCCTGACTACTCCTCAAGTCCTTGCTTAGAAAAAAATGTAACTCTAATTCTCATTTTAGATTTTTATTTAAAACATTTTTAAGCAGACTGTGTATGTCTATTTTGAATACACATGCGTAGTCCTCCAGAATTATGCTTCTTGCTTTGAGTATCTCTCCAATGAGGACAAACAGGTAGGCACCACAGAAAGACATCGAGTTTGGAACCTGAATAGGGAAGAGCTTCACAATCAGGAAGAAGAAAAAAAGCCAAGGACCAAGACATTTCTTTCATAGTAGCTGGAAGTAACCACCTACTATGGAGCCAGCTCAGTGCTAGGAGGTGTGATGTAATTCTTTTTTGTCTGCAGAGCCCTCTCAAAGAGGCTTCCTCTGGGAATCTTTCAAACTCAGGAATCCTCTTATTCATGCATAGTGGAAGTTCAACTGGAAATTAGGTCAGAAAGGATCATCTTTTGCATAACTCTGTGAAAACAAAGCCCTTCATGTAAAGAGCCCAGTGTGCTGCCTGCCTGCTAGTAAGAGCCCAAGACATGCCTAGAGCTGCTATTACCAGAGAGCTTACAGGCCTGGGTGACAGGGTGAGGGGAAACTTCAGCTCCACTGACTGTGGAACTCTCATGCTGAGAAGGTCCTGAACTGCTAAGTCCAGCATCTGAGCCTCAGGTGAGTGCAGAAAAATGGATTTTATGACTAAAAAAGAAAGCACTCCTAGCCAACCTCTTCCAGAAGGGGTGTGGGCAGTCCCATGGGGGCAGAGTGTCTATGCCCTGTCCGGGGGTGCAGTAGAGGCCTGGCTGAGGTGAGGGAACTGCCAGGCCTGGGAGGGAGGAGCTGCAGAGGCAGAGACAGAAGGAGCCAGCACAGCTGGAGGGGGCGGGACTGGGCGGGGCGTTGCGGGGCGGGACAGGCAAGCCAGCCTGGGGACCAAGGTGTTGATGAGCTAGGACAGTCCTCTGTGCAGTCCTCCGAAGGCCCAGCGCAGGTCCTCCACATGCTGGCGGCGGTGGGATCCCTGGTGGCCGCCCTCTGGGGCGCGCTCCACCTCCGCACTGTTCTCCTGGGCGCTGTTGCCTTCCTGTTCTTTGCCGACTTCCTCAAAAGGAGGCGCCCAAAGAACTACCCTCCGGGGCCCTGGCGCCTGCCTTTTCTGGGAAACTTCTTCTACCTGGACGTTGAAAAATCCCAAATGGCGGTTAAGCGGGTAGGTGCGAGGACCGAGGCTGCCCGCGTCCTCACCCCAGCCTGGCCTCCAGGACAGGGGACTGTGGGGTGGCTCCCAGGGTGGGGCTGGGAACCTGCTGGAACCCTGCTTTCAGCTTCCCCTTCCTTCTGCCTTGCTGGCCTCACCCATCTGCCTTTCCAGTGCTGCAATACAGATAAATGTTTCCTGTTTCAGTGTGGTATGACTCTTAGGTCATATTGTTCCTTGTTGTTAGAAATTGAAACCGAAACCGCTTGCCTGCTTTTGTATTCTTAGCCTTTTAAAAACATGTGGAACTTTTTTCTCAGAGGCTCCATTCCAGGTGTGTAAAGCAGTGCTATGTCCTCTAACTCCTCACCCTGCGCCAGGGACACCCCCCTCCCACACTTCCTGAGTGCTGGCCTCAGTCCCCTCCCCTGCAGGGCACTCACCAAAGTCATCCTTCATCTCCCCTTCCTCTCAGTGCCTCCCATGCCCCTGGGTTCTGATTCCTTCAGGAGCCACTGGAGATCAGGCTCTGCCCACTTCTGTCATCCTCTCCAGCCAGGGCTCTGCCTCCCAGGACTCAGCAACCTTGGAAGTTTCCTCGAAATCTCCCTCTCAAGCAGGCTTCCCTGGTATCTGGCTTACAGCACCATGAGCTGATCAGGAATATTAAACAGAGCCCGGGCAGCCTGAGTGTGGTTCAGGGTTGGAGCACAAGGAATCACTGCTCCTTTTCCCGCAGGTTCCTGGAGTGTTGTAAACCCTGTCTGTGCTGTCCCACGGAGATGGGCAGGTGCTGTCAACTGATAGGAGACGTCCCAGTGACTCTGCTAGCTAGTGACAAGATCAGTCACAGAGTTGTAAATATAACCCTGCAGCTGCGCCCTCAGTGCAGAAATGTGTTGTTAATTTTCCAAATATTTAGAGATTTTTTCCTTTGCCCTTTTGTTTATTTGCACTGTGATTACATTATAGTGAGAAAATATATTTCACACATTTTCAGTTCTCTTAAATATATGAAGGTTGATTTGAGGACCTAAGATGTAGTGTGTCCTAATGCATGTGCCACGTATGCTTTGCAGACTGAGTATCCTACTCTGGTGAGCAGAGTGTTCCATATTTCAATGAGATCTTACAAGATCCCAATGTTGTTTAGTTTTTCAATACCCTTACTGCCTTCTTATATACTGATTCCATCATCTCCCGTGAATAGCATGTTGAAATCCCACACTCCATGGTGAGTTTGCCTATTCTGCAGTCAATTCTGGGAGTTTTTCCTTTATGTCTTTGCAAGTTGTGTCCTTTTGTCCATAAGACTGATTTTAGAATGCCATGGCTGTTTGGTGAGTTGATACTTTTACTTCATTATGCCTCTATGCCCTTAGTAATTTTCTTTGCCTGAACTTGATCTGATACGATAAGCCACTGCAGCTGTCTTTTAATCAGCACTTGAGGGATATGTGCTTCTCCATTCTTTTACATTTTAGCCTACCTACATCTTCATATTTGAAATGAATTCTTGTAGACAGGATATGCTTGGATTGTTTTTTCAATTATTCCTAACTATACCCTTTATACTTGATGGGTTCACTTTTTATTTAATACAGATATACTTGGTTTAAGCCTTCCATTTTATAATTTCCGTCCTGTTTTGTGCTCAAGTGTTCATTCCTCCTTTTCTGTCTTCAGGTGGGCTACTTGGACATTTTGCAAACAATTACCTTTTCATCCACCTCCACTGTTTTGCAGTCTGCCTTTTCATACTGATTTTTCAGTGGTTGTTCTAAAGATCCAAACATAGCTTAGCGAACTTTGCTGGTGCCAGCATTTTCACTGGAAGTGCTGTAGAGATACGTTATAACCATTTAGGAGGTCCTTTTACCCTGGCCGCCTTATATATGACTTCAATATTATATCTATATACACTGAGAGCCACACAAGACAATATTATAATTTTGGTTAAAAAATGTCAAATGTAATTTGAAAGCTCAAGGGGCGAATAATAATTTATTGTATTTATGAGTTATTTACCTATCTATTACTCTTTCTTCATTTCTGATGCTCCGAGTTTGTAATTTCCTTTCTGGTCTTGATAACATCTTGCAGTCTTTCCTTTATAGGAGGACTGAATTCTCTTACTTTTATTTTATTGAAAAGTACCTTTATCTCACCTTTATTTCTCAAATGTGTCTGCACTGGACGTAAAAGTGTAGCGTGACTATTTCATTCCTTCCCTATATTTTAATGCTTTGCTAATTTTTGGCCACCAGGATTGGATGAGAACTCAACTGTAAATCGAATTGTTAGTCCCTGTAGACAATGAATTCCTTCTGTCTGCCAACTTTCAAGACATGTTCATTGTTTTAGTTTCCAGAGATTTGATCAGGAGAACTTGGGTGCTTCTTTGGGATTTTATTCTATTGAGGTTCTTGAATGTGAAGGTTTGTCTTTTGTCAGAATGGGGCATGTCTTAGAGACTTTTCTTGTCCCTGCACACAATGCCTGACACACAAAACTTACAGGAGAGGTTTATTTTGGCTCGCAGTTTGTAGAGTTTTCAGAAAATAACCAGCTGGCTCCAGGTTAGGGCAGCATGGCAGAGGGGCATGGGAGGGAAGTGGCTCAGGGCATGGTGTCCAGGAAGCAGGGAAAGTGGAGGGAGGAGCCAGGAAGGGTGACATTACCTCCTGTGTCCTGCAGACAGTGACCCACCTCTTCAGCCCAAGCCCCACCTGCTAATAGCAAGTCCACTATAATGTGTCTGTGTGCAGATCACCGCCCACAGGTCCCAGGCACGATCACATGAGACTTCAGGGGCACAGCTAAATCTAAACTACAGCAAGTCATCTCAGCCAGTTTTCTTCAAATGTAGGTTTTCAACTTCAATTGTTCACCTTTCTTGGACCTTTGCGGAGTGATGGCACAAATGTTAGATCTCTTGGCTTTGAACCACAGGTCCTGAGACTCAGCCTTTGTTATTTCCAATTGACTTGCTCTGTGCTTTTTACCTTGGTACATTCTCCTGATCTCTCCTCAGTTTCACTGAATTCCTGACATTACCACTCTGCCACTGAAGAGTTCTTTTCAGCCTTTTATTGAGAGTATTACAATTTTCATTCTAAAAATTCGCTTTAGTTCTTCTGTAATTCTTCTAGTTTTTTGTAAGAATTCCTACTATTTTATGATTCCCTGGTGTTTGTCATTATTCATTTCAACACTTTAATAGCAGCTGCTTTAAAATCTAATTCTTTTATAATTGCAACCACTTTCTCATCTCATTTAAGTTGAGAGTCTCCTTGTTCTGGATGAGGTGAGTAATTTTAAATGATGCCCTTGATATTTTGTGCATGTTTTTATAAGCCTTATTCTGGACAATATCTTTAAAATTAGCAGGTAGCCTTTTAGTTTCTGAGTGTTCCCTTCTATGAGCTCCAGTTCAATTGTAGATTAGAAAGCACTTCAGTGCTATTCTGGCCCACATTACTGTGTTTCTTACTCCCACAGGAGTCTGCCTTATACTCATTTAGTCTAGGGAGAAAAGAGATGCAGGCATAAGAGAGGGGCCCTTCCTTATTACAAGTGGATAGAAGTCAGATTCTGCCCAGATCTACTTCACAGAGAAGGGCCCCTCCTTGTTACTATAGGACAAGGATGCGAATCTGAATTCAGTTCCAGAATCTCCAGGAGGCTTTGGAGAAGTTCAGGGCTGGAGTAGCAGCTCATGGCACACAGTCTGCAGAGCAGGTACCTGTACGTGGGCGAAAGACTATCTCGTGTCCAGGGGCGCCATGGTACTGTTTGGTCTTGGAGATGGGCACTTCACTTTCACAATGCTTGTGCTCAGGATGGAGAGGTAAAAATGCTAAGAGGTTTCTGTCCTGTTGGGCTGCACTTTTCCTAGACTTTTGGCTAAAGAACACAGGGTTTCTTTGGAGTTTTGGTTCAGTCAAGTAATATAATGCTGACTAGGAATAAAGTAGACTGCCTATTCCATCTTGTCTGGATTAAAAAGTTCATTCTGTGTCCTTCTTTTGGTACTCAAACACATGTGGCAGGAGAGGGTGCCTAATGCCACAAAACAGGCGAGTGGTGAAACTGAGTCTAGGATCCTATCCCTGACCCAGTGATTTCTTTTCATGAAACAGTTTATTTTTCTTATATATGCCGGGATTTTTTAAGTATGTGTATGTAAAACAACCTGAAATAAATGGGATAGTTAGGTTTCAATTACATTAGCATTCTTGCAGTGGGAAAACACTAACACCAACAGTGTGTTAACTCTTGGACTAGGATTTTGGGTTCATGTCCATTCAGTCTTCACAGTAAGCATATACGTTAGGTATTAGCTGGTGGCATTTCCATTGTACCCCGGAGGAACCTTGCTAAGGAGAAAGAGTAATGTGATTTGCCCACATTATTCAGTAGATACTGGAAAACAGAACCTTGGACTCAACATTATTTGACGTGTAAATCTTTTCCACACGTGCAATCTGCCATTTAAGATGTCATTGGAGGATAATTAAGTTTGGGTAGCATGGTCACCAGATATTATTCATAGACTTGTGTCTCTTGGAAGACATTGTAAGTGCTAACAGTGCCAGGCACAGTACTGGACAGCCTGTGACAACATGGGTCTGGAAATTCGGAAACCAAGCAGGTAGCAAGAGATGTTATCACTGTCCATGGGCCTCCCTAAGGATGACCTTTGTACAACATTGGAAGAAACTGACAGGATTTTAAAGGAATGCTTGGCAATTGGCTGAGTGGAGAAAAAAACAGGAAATTTTAAATGAGTGAGATGTCTTGTGCTACAGCATGGTGACAGTAAAGGGAGGGAACCAGGCTGTTTGTATGGCATGTGGGCAAGTGCACTACTCTCCCTCAACCATTTTCTAAACATTTCCTGTCATACCCATATGGCTGATGAAAGGAATGTTTATTTAAAGGAAAAAAAATCTCATCAGAATATAAACAATGTGCATGGTACATAAGTTGTATAAATTAATAAATAGTTTGCTCATCAAGATGACTGTAACAGAGGCCTCAATATACAATGAAGTAAACAGTGAACGTTAATTCTTACTCACAAACGGATCAGACATAAGCATGCAGTGCAGGATAGAGAGGCTTTGTCTCACAGCATCATCCAGACTTCAGTTCCTTCTGTGTTATTCCTTCTGTCTTATACCAACATCATCACCTGTGAGTTGTGGCCCATGGAAAGAGGAAATGGAAATGGCTGTGTTATCCAGTAGTTCCCTTTAGAAATGGCTCATCAATTAAACATGCTCCAGCTCCTTGCCTTGAACGAAGAATTGAACAAAAAAGCCCAAAATGGTGACAATGCTTATGTGAAAACTAGGGGTGAAGGAGAAACTAGCTCTGCAGAGAAAATTTTGGCTACATCAAGAAGGAAAAGAGAAAGGAGAAAAATAAAAGTACACCTTGGGAGTCTGGGAGACAGAATGGGGTCCCATGAAGAGTTGTGATAGTGAACTCCTTGTGATTTCCCATCTCTTTTATGCTGTCCACATCTCCTGGGAACCCAAGAGAAGCTCTCCATATGGAGTTTAGAGAGGCAGTGCTGTGTAGATCCTGGGATCCTACCAAGCCTCTCTTCCCATGCAGCCTAAGCCACGCCCTGTCTCCTATCTCAGGCGGTGTTGAGAAAGCAGCTTTTATAAAGCTGTGACTTGCAAGATACACACACAACCACTTTTCAGGTTCTTTCGCCCAAAACTGGAGAGACTGGGAAATGAGATTTTTGATGAGGAAGTCATATGGCCAGCTAGTATGTAGGCAGCTCCATCACTGCAAAGAACACAGGGAAATGTATTTATAGTTTCACTGAAGAATGAGAACTACAGAATGTATTAGAAACCACCACAAATTCCACCACTAGCTGTGTGCTACTTCTCTCTGCTTCTTTTTCTAAAACAGAAAGATATTGTGTGTAGCAGTGGCAGTGAACCTAGGGTACACATGATGCATTGGGCATGCAGAACACCCTCTGGCAGCACTTGAGCCAAGGCCAGCATCACCCCAGTAGCCAAACATGCAGATTTAATTGCAGTGTTGTCACTTTGAGGTGAATAAGTGGATTTTGGGTTGAGCTTGGTCACTCAGTCTCTAAATGGTTAGCCACCACTTCTGTATAGGCTTATTATAGAGATAAAATAAGTTACTGAATATGAAGATACTGCCAGGATCCCTCGCACATAGATGATGCTTATTTCTATGGTTTTGACACTGCTCCTTTCTTCAGAACCTTATCGCAATATACTGCAGAAAACCCAATTGTTCCTTGAATGCCAGGCATCATGTTGTTTCCAAACACCTTCAATTTCCTGCCTTAGCACCTCCACATGCTGTTCTCACAACCTACAGTGCCTTTGCTTTCACATGACATGTGCTTTTGCTATCATCCTGAGTTTCCCATAGAATTTGGCCCAAGTCCCACTTAAAGTGTTCTGTTACATCTTACGTGGATATTCATCTCTTGTGAGAGCCTCATGTCCCTTCACACCAGCATTCTGGCATGTGTTGTCTTCTGCTCTGTGTGCACTTTTCCTCATGGGAAGCCTCTGTACACAGAGTGCATTTGAGATCTCAGTACTTAGCAGGAGTGTAGGCCACAGGAGATCTGCACAGACATGCGCACCTCTATTCATATGCACACGGGTCTGTGGTCCATGATGTAGACTACATTTTCAAAGGATTTCATGACTAAAATAGCTAAGAAACACACAACTTTATTTTTATTTCCTAAAGTTTATTTTTCCTTTGTTTTTAAGTAGATAAAAATTATTTTCACTACATAAAATTATTTTAACCATAAAAGTAATACATGCCTATTTAGACAACATTTAAAAAAAATTTGCAATTTAGCAAAGGATATAAAATATTATCGCTTCTTGTGCACCACCACACACACTCAGCAATACTTCTGTAGGACGTTGGTAAATATCTTTCTGTATTTGTGTAGAATCAACATTAAATTATAGTTTTGTTTTTATTAAAAAGTCTATGATCCAAAAGAAAAATCCGAACTCCTTATACAAACAGATTAGAAACATATTGTTGATTTTTTAAAATACTACATGCAACATGAAGATGTTAAACCTAAGGAATATGTAGAAATAGCATGTCCATTAGGTACACACACACACACACACACACGAATGCACATACACTCAGTTCTCTGGAAAATTCAGGGCAATAAGCCCTCTCGGCTAGTGGTAGTGGAAATGTGGATTGGTACCCTCTTTTCTTTTTCTCTTCACTTCTTTGTTTAGCTGGATCTTTGGTTTTCGAACTTAGACTCAGTGAAATCTCTCTCTTGTTTCTTCCTCTGTCATCCTGGTTCAATCTCTTTTCTCAGTAACCCTTCGCCTCTCATTTTTCATCATTCTCATTCTTCATTTTGGTGAACTTTATTTTTAAACACTTGGTGCTACATTTAGAATTTTCCTTTTTACTATGAAATGTTTCCTATTGCTTTTGTTTGCCTTTTATAACACCTTATCAGTTATTTTTCTATTTCAATGTTTATGTCTGTTTATAAGCCTGTTTTTATTCTGAGTTGTATTATTTTTAATCCTTTCTGATTTCTAATGATCTGTTTAATCATGTGCTTTGAAAATTATGTTCTACCTTAAGAAGTTTTCTCAGATGCCCTCTGGGTCATTTAATCCATGTGAAGTAATTGACAAAAAACAAAACAAAAAAACTACCCCAACCACCTCCAACAACAACAACAACAAAAACTTGAGTGAATTTAAGAACTATTAGAATCAATGGTGGGGATCAAAGTGGCCATTTAACATCAGCACTGTTACACTGTTGAAAATATAAAAGTGTTGGCCCATCTGTCAAACTACAAAACTACATGGGCAGATAACGCATGGAGATGGAATGCTGCTGTTGATTTCAATGAGTGGAATTGGAGTGCTGATCCCTCACATGTACAAGCTGAGATTCTAGTTTGTGTATACCATGTTAGGCATTGTTTAACAATAATGTGAGATGTGAATTGTTCCAAAAATATCAGTGTTTAATATTCCAACTTAATGAAGAAAGCCATTATGTAAGATTGAGAAAGATAATCCAGGCATTCATGAAGATGAAGTAAATTTTTTCTTGGCATTTCTCTGAAGAAATGTACTTCTGGCCTCTGCCCGTATAGCAAGCCAGGACAGACTGTGAAGAGATGACAGTAGATTCACACAGGGCTCCAGCTGAAAAGAGTAGTGCAAGGTTTGAGTTCAGCTTCTGCATTGCTGTGAGCACAGGATGCTGGGGTAAAACTTAAAGCTTTCCATCTCAAGTTCACATCTTTGTCCCCCAGTCTGACCTAATGCCTGGAAATCGCCTCACTGAATAGTTTTGTCACTGTGTGCATATTACTTCAGCTGCAGCTCACTTTTTTCCTGAAATACGGACATCCTTAGTACCACAGGACACTGACAAGATAATGAGAGAAGTCAGGAGAGATGGGTGACATGGCACCCGGGGAATGTGGCTGTGTGTGACAGTCAGCGCTCCTTCTGCATCCCAGTGTGCTCTTCTCCTTGTCAGGAGCCAACATCTGCCTTCCTTTCCCACAGAGCTCATTCCTGCCTCAGAGCCTGGCTGAGAGGCTGTATACATGGAACCAGAAGTGAAAGTGACTTTCACATTGCTGCTGTCATTCTTCTCCACAGAATTCTTTGAGAGAAAAATAATTTTGTCTTTCACACCTGAGGAACTGAGGCTCAGAAAGTGAGGTACCGTCTCTTAGAGCCCACCTCGAGGAATCCACAGAGCCAAGGCCTTGCATAGCGCTAGAGCTAGAGGGATGACTTGGTTCCTGCCTCCACCCTGTGGTGCACTTCCCATTACATGGCATGTCGTGCGACAGGGGGCACGCTTCTCAGGCTGGATAGTTTTGTGGCTTCACTAAGAAGTCTGCCCTTGCTGCACCAGACTTGGAATAAACACATCTTATCCTTCTTCAGCAGGCCAGTAGTGCTGAATTCTGTGTCTTCACCAGATTCTAGGATATGTCAGGTTAGAGACACTGTTCATTGTATGACAGTTGTGTCTGGATGCCTCCTCTAGGGTAGATGCTCACTCAGTTTAGAGGTGGAAGATAAGAATACATTTTTAAAGGAACTTCCATCCTGAAGTGAATTGAATATGACTGTATTGAGAGAAGAGAAATAATTCAGAAACATATCTCACAGAACCAAGGTGCATCCAGTTCCTCACACAAACCCAGAATCCCTTCAGAACAAGCTCTTTTGATACACTCATCCTCAATCCCTGGACACATATACACATCCATGTTTAACTTTGACTATATCACTGTTTTTTAGCATGTGAAGAAATACGGTAACCTTGTTAGTTTGGAAGTAGCTGACATATCTGCAGTGCTTGTAACTGGACTGCCCTTAATCAAAGAAGTCCTTACCCACACGGACCAGAACTTTATGAACCGGCCCATGACTCCTACTCGAGACCATGTCTTTGGTAAAAAGGGTAAGTGTTTTGACCATGATAAATGTGTTCAAAATGTGCATGGTATGTATGGTAAAAGTGCCTCTGTGTCTTATCATGTTCCTAAATGCCCCACAACCATCACGTTATGAAATTTTACCTATTAGAGGAAGCTGGGTGCTTATATTCCCTGATTAGAGCACCTCCTCAGAGGACTTCAGAGCATTGACCTTGATGAAGATCTAGAAGAATCCACATATCCTGCAGGAGTCACTCTGCATGCTTGGATACTAAAGTGACCATATCATGCATTCACAGCAGAGTAGGAGGCCATGCATTGTGTCTTTCTGTTTCTCCATTCTGAACCTCTTCCCTTAGGAAAATGGATGCGATTCTGCATCATTCTCCTGCGGCCTCTATCTGCTTCTAGCTTTTCTTCTGTCTCTTTAGGGCCCTATCACACGGTGTATCTAACACCTTCTAATCCACATTAGAACAAGTAGGGATGGAAAATTAAAATCATCATTAAGTAAACTTAAACATTTAAAATTTGAAATCAAAACCTCAATCTCTTAAACTATCAAAGCATCCTTTTCAGAAGCTTCAAATCCCTCTTTGAAATAGTCCATGAATTAATTCTACATGCATCTACTGCCATGAAAATGTGAGTGCTAGGAATAAATGATAGAAGACTGAGAAGAATGCTACATATATTTGTTTTGTGTAATAGTAATGCTGTCCTGAGAGGAGCACATTAACTGCAATAAAAAAAAGACCACATCAATGAGACACTTGTTCTGAGAATCTAATGTAATCTTGGAATGCAGGAAAAGTTGATGTAGTAAAGCCAATTTATTTAATGAAGTGAAAAACAACACCATTCAATCAAGGAGAATATAATACGAAAAATCCCTGACCTGAGAAAAAGGACAAGGAACTTAATGAAATAAAAGATGTCCAATTATTGTAAAGGATATAATTAAATGGAGTTAAAGCTGCCTGGCTAAGAATAGCTTATGCAAGTTCTTGTTAAGGACATTGGTTTTTATCCTAGAGACAATGTAAGCTCTTGAAAGATTTTCAGTGGAGAAAAAAATCATGCAGAGTACATTACTAAGACTCACAAGGATGACAAGACAAAAATGCAGTTGAGATAGCAAGAGACTTTTGTAGATTTTAGCTTACAGAAAGTGACTGCTTAGACCAGGTGAGAGGAAAGAAATGATAGTGTGTTAGGAAAGGATGGTTATGATGACATTACATGGATTCCAGGTAATCATCAGGGAAACCTAATAAGACACAATGACTTCAATGTAGCGATAATGATGTGTTGAGGTGCTTCCCACACAGGTACCTGATGGAAAGAGGAACACCTAGAGGAGGAGAATGTATTTGGGTAGGATTGGCTTTTGTTGGGAGTCCTATGGATAAAGTCAAGAATTTAAGCCTGGATGGGCCAAGTTTGCAGTGCTTCAAATTGGCTAAGTCAAGGGGTCATTGTAATAATGAGTACAGAGTTCAGGGACAGAAACAGATGATGACTAGCAGTGGTTATTTAAAATTATGGGATCTGATAGGATTTCCAAAAATGGTATGTGGGAAGAGACGAGAGGATGCTAGGGACATAATCGTGAAGGCTACCATCATTTCAAGATTTTACAGAAGAAAATAACCACAAAATAGTACAAGTTGCTCACAGACATTTAGGGGAAAATCTGTATGTGTGCTATCCACACCGCTACTGGAAAGAAGTCATTCAAAGAAGAATTGTAGAGAGCTAAGGAAAGACCACATGAGATGACGTTGGAGATTTCACTGGATTCACGGCAAAAGGGGCCATTTCAATGTCATGGAAAAGGACACACACAGATACATAGGGAAGTTGAAGAGACCTCTAGAAATGAAGACATGGAAAAGAGCTTGGCTTTGGCTGTGTTATGAAACAAATGGCAGTTTATGGAGCACAACATGACACTCTGCATCTTTGCCTGTGATGTTTTTTCTGTGAGGAATATTCATTCCTTCTTGCTTTCTTGAATCATTCCTCATCTTTTAATGCCCAACTCAGATAGGACACCTATAAAGACTGTAAAGACTTTTTGTGACTCTTGTGCCTGTGGGCTTTGGCTTATGCACATCTGCATTACTGATCTTTAGCTTAACACTAACACTTAACTAAATTTATGTGACTTCTAATCAAAGCATGGGGCATGGATACGGGTGGACTAGAATTTCCACATCTGCTTATGAATTGTATTACCTTGCAAAGTTCACTTCATCCTTTATTCCTAGTGTCCTTGATTTCTCAATAGTAGAATAGACTGGAAGTGATGCTATGTAATACTACCTTGTTGTTTCTGTGAGCACAAAATAATAAAATACATAAAAATACTAATGTGGGAGCAGTTAGTAAATGTTAGCCAGCAAATGTGAGAATTATGTTCATTGCTCTGGGAGTATGGCTATGAATAAATTCGGAGTATATTAATGTCCCTCCTCCTTTGTATCTGATGCACATGTCCATACAGTTGCCAGGTATTTGCATAATGGTATCAGAATAGCATCGTGTCGACTTCCATTTCCCCAGGACTGATCATGTCCAATGGCCAAATATGGAAGGAACAAAGAAGGTTCACCCTGACCACACTAAGGAACTTTGGTTTAGGAAAGAAGAGCCTAGAGGAACGCATCCAGGAAGAAGCCTACCACCTTGCTGAGGTCATAGCAGAGGAGAAAGGTGAGCATTTCATAGTTTAGGTATGGGAAGTTGAGACCCATCCAGTCATTGTTCAGATACTTTTTAAGAGGCTAAATGCAATCCCTGTGCCCATCACTGTGCTAGGCCCTGAGATAGAATAGTGAACACCTTCTAATGACACTATCCTCAAGGAGGACACAGTTAGACATGCATTAAACATATTACCAAATTTAAACACTGATCATAAATTTATTGAGCACAACATTGAAGAGTCCTTACCATATCTTAGATGCTGAGGGAAGAGCTTCAAATGCAGTTCTCTACTAGTTATATAGAGCAGACTTTCTGTAAAAATATAGAGACAAACCAGTGGTTTTTGAAGGACTTATTTCTTGCTTCTTCAACCTCCAGGACAGCCTTTCAACCCTCACTTCAAGATCAACAATGCAGTTTCCAATATAATTTGCTCTATCATCTTTGGGGAACGCTTTGACTACCAGGATGCTGAGTTTCAGGAGCTGCTGAGGTTACTGGATGAAGTTACCCATTTGGAAGGATCTCCTGTGGGCCAAGTAAGCACTTCTCCTCCTGTACCTTGCTCAGGAAAATTGGGCTGATGTCAGATTCAAATGGGCTCTTCTGTTTGTTTTTCTAGCTCTTTGAAGCAAAAGTATGACAATTTAATATTGAAGTTAACAGAAACTACTTAAAATCATTTTGTTGCATTTAATTATTCTTTTCTCTCTTCATTTCGTTTGAGATTTTTCACTGAACTGAGGGTCTCAGTCATGATTGGCAGTCTATTTAACTCTAAGCTACATTCTCTAACCCAATTCTAATATTTCCTTCCTTCCTTTCTTTCTTTTTTTCTTTCTTTCTTTCTTTCTTTCCTTCTTTCTTTCTTTCTTACTGGATCCTCAGGTATGCACAGAGGTGACAATTTGCTAACATCTACATGCACTAAAGAGCTGGTGTTATAGAGGTTTCAGAGGAAGAGCTTTCTAGTCAGAGGGAATAACAAAGGCAAAAGATCTTAATGAGGAACATCATTGATTTGACCACAAAGGCCTCTGTGGAGTTTGCAGTCAAAGATGGCAGGGAGAGATAGCAAGAAGCCAATCTATAGGGACAATTGTAGGGATTATAGGCACAAGGAGTGACCTTGATCTTAAGTATAATGAACAGCAATTGGACAGTTGAGAGCCAAGGAATGAAACTATATGGCCCAAGTGTTTAAGGATCCCTGTGGGAGTTGTATAGAGCAGTAGGCTGGGAATTGTTTAAGAGCGAAATCAGGAAACCACTAAAATAATGTTAGCATCCAGGTAGGGGAAGGTGGTGGTTCACAGTAATGTGGAAAGCATGGCGGGGGGCAGTGAGATGGAGTCTGAAGCTCAGTATATGTTGGATGGAGAGTTGAGATTCCTGTAAGAGAGATGAGAGGAGAGAGGACTCCATGTGACACCACAGGCTTAGTGTGAGCAAATAAAGAGATGGAAGGAGAACATGGTCACAAAAAGTGCAAAAGCAGTTGTGTGTTGTCTCCACGATCACTTTGTTTCTCTCCATTAGCTGTACAATTTCTTTCCACGGATAATGGAATTCCTCCCTGGACCTCATCATACTCTCTTCAGAGACTGGGACAAACTGAAATCATTTGTTTCTCGTGTGATTGAAAATCACAAGAGAGACTGGAATCCCAATGAGCCAAGAGACTTTATTGATGCTTACCTCAAGGAAATGGCACAGGTGAGAAAAACAAAGTTGGTTTCCATGTTGTGTTTTTCAAGGACAAAGAGCAGCATGTTGGTTTCAAATTGCAGCTCTGACAAGCATCTGCAACTCTGTGGATTAAAATAGCACAGTGCTCTCTTACAGTTTGAGATGACAGAAATCCAAGATAATTTTGCCTCTGGGAAACTCAAGGTGTTGGCCAGGCCAGCTTCTTGGGAGTTTTGAAGCCTCCACTTCCTTTACTCTCCTCCTTCTGGAGGCCTACTGCATTCCTTGTTTTGTGGCCCCTTCCTCGATCTTCAGTGTCAGGAGTATAGCATCGTCTCTCCTCTCTGAGCTGGAGTTCTGTCTGTACATCTTCTCCTCCTGAGTCTGACAATCTGGTGCCTCTCTCTTATAAGGATTATTCATGATAATTTTTCCACTTCAAAATCCTTAAGTTAATCACATCTGCAAAGTCCCTGTTAGCCTGTAAATTAACACACAAAACACTGGGGAAAGGACATCCCTGTAGATCATTATTTACTCCACCACGGGGAGTAAAAATATAAGAAATATTTCATATGTGTAGGTTATCATTAACTCAGGAATTCTAGGACAATCAGAAATAAAAATAAGTGTCTGATGACATTTGGCTTAAGGTCGTGAGAATGTCCAGATATGCTGCCTTTTCATCCCCTATTGCAGTGGTGGTGAATCCATGGCATGCATGCTGCAACTGGCTATTTGTTATCATTGAAAGCTCTAAAAGGTTTACCAGCGCTGCATTTCTCTTCCCCTACCCACATCTGAAGGAGTGGCACACAAAGGGGAAATAGCAGTTGAGCTTCAGAAGTCCATTTCCTTGTTACTTGGGACTGAGCCTAGTTCCCTGCCTCTTCTCTAAGTCCCCATTGCAGAACACAGGTAAAGCTGAGTTGGATCCTAGATTGAAAATTAAAGGTCTTTAGAATGGGGCTACTCTGCTGTCATGCCCCGTGTCACACATTTTCCACATTACAGGCAAGAAGCAGTAAAAAGCCAAACTGAATATATGGCCTTGAGCACAGTGACCCTGTGACTAGTAGATGTCAGTGAAGCAGTATCATAAACTTTGACTCATCAGATGATGGACTTCTGCTCCTGGAGTGGGCAGAATGTGAATGCGTTTGCATTTTCCCTCTTCCTTCACCTTACTGGCATAATATTTGGGTAAGCTTTATTTTCTTCTTAGAGGAGGAGTCTTTACCTACCATGTAGTGTACAGCTGTGGAACCGTCAACATTAAGAAAATTTTGAAAAATTGAACCACCCAAAGAAAGGGGAAAAATGACAGGCAATCACATAGAATTATTGAAGAAATATGAAAGGTTTAAACTGGCAGACTAATAGGGAGTTAGGAGCATATTTGTAAGTAGAAGAATCCACCTTAATTTTTGTGCTACAAACACAAATATTTATTTGCTAAGAACTTTCGTATATCGCAAGGTTCATAATGTCATTTTAGAGGCTGCACAGTAGGTCCACTTTAAGCAGGAGACTGAAGCACTGAAATGTTAAGCGATGTGTCCTAGGTCATACATCAAACATGTTATATAGCTCATGTGGAAAGCCTGTCTTGCTCATTCACATCTCATTTTCCCCCAGTGTATTCCTAACCTGAAAAATTACAGGTACAAGGAAGTGGTTATCTTGATTTTCTTATTTCCTTTTTTTTATTAATATGTTTCTGGTATATAATGTTTGCATTCCTTTGTGGGCATTTGGTACATATGTGTAAGGCATCTTACTTCCTTTCTCATCCCCTATCCCTGCCCTCTCTCCAACCTCCCTTCATTTCTTGATCTCCCTCCTATTTGAGAATCATCTACCTCCAGACTTCTTATTTCCCTTTGGTTTTTCTCTTTATGTATCTTTTGGGTTTCTTATATCAGAAAACCCATGCAGTATTAAACTTTATGTGTGATTTATTTTACTTAACATTATAGTCTTTAGGTGCATCCATTTTCCTTTGAATTAATCAATTTTATCTTTCTTGATGGCAAAATGCTATTCCACTGTGGGTAAATACCACCTTTTCTTTATCCATTCATCTGTTAATGGGAATATAGGCTGCTTCCATGATTTAGTGATTATGAATTGTGCTGCTACCAACATGGGTATGCACCTACCACTGTAATATCTTGTCTTTACTACTGTAATATCACGTAATATCATGTCTTCTTTATCAGAAAGAAAATAGCTGGGTCAAAGGGAATTTCTAGTTTAAGATTTTTGAGGATTCTCCATACTTATGTCAATAATGGTTATACTAGTTTATATTCCCACCAACAATATGGAAGTGTTTGTTTTCCCCTACAGCCTCACCAATATTTGTTATTATTTGAATTTTTTGATGATTGCCATTCTTTCAGGGTTAAAGTAGAATCTTAGTGTTGTTTTTATTTTCATTCCCCTGATGGCCAGCAAAATTGGGCATTTGCATGTATCTATTAACCATTTACAGTTCTTCCATAAGGTCTCTATTCATTTCACTTGCCCATTTTTTATTAGGTCTTCTTTTTTCTTGATTCTTTTATTATGAATGATCTAAGTGTTTTGAGTTCTGTATATATTCTAGATATTAAGCCTCTGTCTGAGGAACAGCTGGCAAAAATATTTTTTCCATTCTGTAGGTTGTGTCTTCACTCTGTTGGTTGATTCTTTCACTGTGTAGAACCTTTTTATATGATATGGTACCACTTGTTGATTCTTGGTCCCATTTCCTCTGCACGATGACTGTGTTAAGAAAGTCCTTCTCATGACTTCAAGAATTTCACCTGTTTTCTCTTCCAGCAGTTTAAGCATTTCTTTTTTGACATTTAGTTCCTGGATCTATTTTTACTGTATCTTAGAACATGGTTTCAGATATGTGTCTATAGTCTATGGTCTGCTTGTGGATAGCCAGTTGTCCTGACACCATTTATTAAAGCAGTTTTCTTTTCTCCAGTGTCCGTATTGGAAGTACCATCGAAGATCAAATGGTTGAATGTGCTTGAAGTTTTTTCTGCATCCTCTGTTCTGTTCCATTGGTCCTCATGTATGCTTTTGTGCTAGTACCATGCTGTTTTTATCATGGTAGCTTTGAAATATAACTTCAAGTGCAGGATTTTGCACCCTCCCACTTCATCCTTGTTATCCAGAATTGGTTTTGCTATTCTCAAGCTATTCTATGTCCATATGAATTTTAGCATTTTTTTTCTATTTCTGTGAAGAATGCTGTTGGAATTTTGATTGTCATTGAAAGAAATCTATCAATATTTGAAATATATGCATTTTGAGTATATTGATTCTGCCTGTTTAGGACAACTGTTTTCTGATGTCTTCTTTGACTTCCTTTTTTGAAGTACTGTAGTTTTCACTGAAGATGTGTTTCATTTTCTTACTTAGGTTAATTTCAAAGTACTTAATTTTTTCAGTGCTGTTTTGAATGGTATTATTTAACATAGTATCTTTTTCAGTGGCTTGCTTACAGATGTACAGGAAAGCTATTGATTTTGCTGTGTTTAATTTTGTGTCCTGCTACATTTTTAATTTTGTTATTAATTCTAGGAAGTTTTTGATGGAATTTTTGGGTCTTTATGTAGAGAATCATATCATCTGCAAATAATGAAAATTTGCCTTGTTCATTTCCTATACATATTGTTTTTTTTTCTTTTTGCCTGGTTACTTTTCTAATGTTTTGAATAATGTGTGAAACCAGACTGGTGACAGTGGAAATCCTTCTTTTGTCATTGACTCTAGAGGGAAACCTTACAGTTTTCTCCTATTTAATATGATGGTAACAGTAGGTTTGTTATAAATGGCATTTATCAGATTGAGATAAGGTCCATGTATACATATTTGCTTTAGTGTTTATAACATGAAAAGATGTTGGATTTTTTCACAGGCCTTTTCCTGCATGTATTGATACGATCATGTGATTTTTTTTTCTTTCTGCTTATGTGATGTATTACATTTTGTACTGCATATGTTGAACCAACTTTGCATCCCTAAAGCCTACTTGCTCATGATGTATAATCTTTTGGATGATTTGTGGCATTCAGTTTGCCAGTATCTTGTTAAGGTTTTTTGCATCTATATTCTTTATTGATTGAATCCTTGTCTGATTTTGGAATCAGGGTAATGCTAAGCTTCCAGAAATGACTGTGGGAGTAATCTTTTGCTTTTGATTTCATTAAAGAACTTCAGCAGTATTAGTCTGTGATCTCTGAAGTTTTTGTAGAATTCAGCAATGCATCCACTTGGACTTTGATTTTTCTTACTTGGTAGGTTTTAGTGCTTCAATTTCATTGCCTATTATTGGATTATTCAAGGGTTTTCAATCTTTTTGGTTCAATTTTTAAAATTCATATGTATCTAAGAATCTATCCATTTCTTCTGAATTTTCCAATTTACTGGTACATAGTTTTGCAAAGTAGTCCTTGATAATCTTGATTTAGGCAGTGCTCATTGGGATTTGAGCTTCTTCATTTCTAATTGTGGATTTTTCCCTCCTTTTTTGTTGAGATTGGCCAAGAGCTTGTCTATTTCATTTTTTATTGTTTTGAAGAACCAACTCTTCAATTCATTAATTTATATTTTTTTTAGTCTGAACTTCATTGTTTTTTATGATGACCTTTATAATTTCCTTCCTTTTCCTCATTTTGTGTATGGATTGTTCTTGTTTTCCTAGGGCTTTAAGGTGCATAGTTAGGTTGGTTATTTGGCTCACTCAGTTTTTGTGACATGGGCATTCAAAGCCTAGAACTTTCTTCTTAGGACTGCTTCCATCCTGTGCCATACATTCTGATATGTTGCACTGGTGGTATATTTTTGTTCGAGAGAATATCTTAGTTTTTCCTTGATTTCTGCTGTGATCCATAGATGATTTAAGTGAGTATTTAAGAGAGTATTTGATCTACTTGTGGTAGTGAAGTGATGACATCCCCTGCTAAAATTGTGTTTGCATTTATCTGATGTTTTGTATCCCCTGATGTTTGTTTTCTAAAGTTGGGTATGCTGATGTTTTGTGCATATATGTGCAAATGTTATCTTTTTATGAAAGGAAGAATTCTGAAAGACATCTTCCACATATTTCTGTCCTTTCCCCAAAATCCCCAAGCCTCATAACTCTCTGAATACCTCTATAAAACTGAGTTAATTCCTGTTTATAGAACAGACCATTCAGAACAAGAGCATGTCAGCTTTAGAACAATAGGGAATCTTGCACAAACATGAAACAGTCTAGTGACGATGAACTTATCTTTGATTTTTAGTGTATGAGTTCATTTTGGTTAAATGTGTTCCTTTTGTATGGCAGCCAGTGGATTTTGTTTCTTAATCCATACTGACAATCTCTGTCTTTTGATTGGGGCATCAGGACTATTCACATTGAAAATTGTTGCTGAATGGTATTGACTTATTTTTTCCTTGCGTAGTTTTCCTGTTGCAATCCCACACGCTAGTACTTAAATGTTAACAACCTGCCCCAGTGTATTCATTCTATTGGATTTTTTTTTTGGGGGGGGGCTTGCTTTGTCTGTCTCATACAAGGATATCCTTGAGAATTTTTTACAGTGCTGTATTGGTGGTTATGAATTCTTCGAGTCGTCTTTTTCATGGAAATATCACATTTCTCCATGCATTTTGAAAGATAGTTTTTGCAGGATATACCAGCCTGGGTTGAAAGTTGTTTGCTTTTAGAGCTTGCAACATTTCACTCCAAGCTCTCCTGGCCTTGAGGATATGTGTTGAAAAGTCTGGAGTAATTTTAATGGCTTTATCCTTAGAAAGAATTTGTTGCTTATCTCTGACCACTTGATTCTGTTCTTATGTTAGACTTGCAGGATTTTTGTCTATGATGTGTCTCAGAGGAGTTCTTTTCTGATCATGGCTATTTGTGGCTCTATATGTCCTCTCTTCTCTGTATGTTCAATTATTTTCCTTTTGGGTAAAGTTTTCTGTTATTTAATTAAACATGCATATATGCCATTTGTGCTCTTCTGATTTTTTGCTAGCTCTAATTCATGTTAGATTAGTCTTTTTTATATTATATAGAATGTGTTGGATCCATTTTTCATGTTCTCTTATTGTGTTTAAAATATCTGTCATTAATTAGTCACTCATGACAGCCTTGTCTTCTAGTTCTGACACTGTCCTCACATTGATCAATTACACTGCCCATAATTACAATAGTTTTTTTTTTTTTGTACTGGGGATCGAACTCAGGACCTTATACTTGTGAGGTAGGCAGCAGCACCACTGAGCTAAATCCCCAGCCCCTACAATAAAATTTTTAATCTCCTGAACTTGTATCTGTAACTTTTTTATAATTTCTAATTCTTTTCCATGTTGGATAGTCATGCTTTGCATCATTTTGTTTAGCTTGCTGTCTATTAGTGTTTTCTGTACACATGCTGATCATCTTGTTTTCGTGGTCTGTTATCTGATTGCTTATGTCTTCTGTGATCTTGCTAAATGCCTTATTGATTTATTTTGTTATCTCCTCAGTTACCTTTTTGAATAATTCAAGTGTATGGATTTAGGTTTTCTCCCCTTTGATGGCCCATGGATCGGCTTTAGGGGAGTTGTGTTTTTAGGCATTTTTGGCCTTGTCTTCTCCTGTTCGTACTTTTTATTTGTTTATATATTGTTGGCTTTTTATATGGAAGCTTGTGAGTTTATTATAGTGGTAAGTTTTGTTGTTGTTTTGGAGGCCTCATTAGTTAATATTTACTTTTCAGTGGTTCCATCTTAATGTGACTGTTGGCCTGGTCCTCTGTCTCAGGATTCATTCACCTTTATTTCTCTTGGAGGAAAGGTTGCAGCATATTTGCTCCAGTAGCCAGTTCTTCTGGTATCGGCACAGTATTGTTCATGTCGACCTCTAGGCAATCCAGATACTGGCATCCTGAGAATAATAGCATCAACTATGTCAACTTTTCTACAGTATTAAAATCAACAATAATAATAGCATTAAAGACAAACTGGATATTCACAAAAGCTAAGGATCAATAATATACTGGCCTTAACCCTAGAAAATAGAACTATAATTATCACATGGAAACTAAGACAAACCAAATGTTAATCTAGTATTGATTCACCATAAATATCTACTGAATTTTCTTCTACTAACAAAAGTATTCATGAATAATAACAAAAAGTAAACTATCTACAAGAGACTCATAAAGCTTAATCGTGATAGTAATACAATTGGAGAGTTTTAGTTACTTCTCTCATTGCTGAGACAAAATACCCCCCACCCACAAGTTAAGGAGGCATAGGTTTATTTAGCTCACAGTTTGTAAAGGTTTCAGTTCATAATCAGCTGACTCCAGGGTACACTGGCTTCACAGAGGTAAACAGTTCCTGGTGGGCAGGAGATAGCAAAACAAGCAAGGGATAATCACAGCTCTTTCTGCTCCTTTATATTATCCGGTCAACTTAGGCCACGTAGCTCTAACACTCTTATTCCTAGTGCCCTTGAGCCTAACACTGCACCATGAATCACTCCCAGCATCACACAGTCTAGACCCAGGAACCTCTGAAAAAGCCCCGCCTATGACTGCATGATCCTTTGGGGGGCCATCTAGACACAAGCCACACCGTAAAGGGTGTAAGGAACTGGAGAATGAAGAAGGATAAAATTTAAAAATCTGTGGAATATGAGATGGACAAGAGAAAAGTGAGATAGGGGCCATACTATGGAGTAAAAGGAAGTTAATAATGTTAGGAAACAGTTACAGGAGAGAATTAAGAAGAAAATAGTAAAAGAAAAACAGAAAAAATAGAAGTGAGAGAAAAAAAGGTTTGGAGGCTATAAGCTAGAAAAGAAACTAAAAGAAAAAAAGACTAAAATGGCTTTTTGTTTTTCTGAAAATCATGTACCCCAAAAAAACAGATGAAAGAAAGAGAATAACTAAAGATAGTTAAATTTGTTAATGTTTAAGTTGAAGAACAAATTCTTCCGTGTTTCTCAATGAGTGGTTTCCTTCCAAGATCTACAGTCTTAGAATCCAGCCAGTCACAATTTGCTCCACCCAATTTTAGGCCTATGGGATTTTGAAGTGCCTTTCCCACACCAGAGACCCCTCTGTCTCTTCACCCCAGACCGTGGTTACTCTTCAAGCCTGGTGTGTCCTTGCTTCCCTTGGTAGATGCAAAAAGAGAACATACCTTTGGTCTCTGTGGGAGGTAGGATGAGGGGCTGGGGTTCCAGTGGACTGTTCATCTTGTCACTCCCTTTTCTCTTTGGGATTGTCCTCATTCCAGATCAGAGTGGTCAGTTAGTCCGTTCTTCTGCTTTCTGGCTAGGAGTTGTTGGATGGTCACACCATGCCTGGGCTTGTTGTGGTCTGCTTCTCTCCTGGGCGGTGCCTATTGAAAGATCTCTGAGGCCTCAGTTGGCTTCACACACTGAGTGCTGGAGAATTGATTTTCCCTTCCAGCAGTAGGGGCAGGTGGTCACTAAAAGTATTGCTGCTTCTTGACAAGGTCAAAAGCATATAGTTTCTCCTTCTCCCCTTTCCATCAAGCCTTTGGTATTGCATGGAGTCAACCACAGATTCTCTGAATGACTCTTAATCAATGCTGTCCTGTCTAGCACCCAGACAAGACCATTTCAAGTTTTGATGAAGAAAACCTCATCCTTAGCACCCTGGACCTCTTTTTCGCTGGGACAGAGACGACATCCACAACACTGCGCTGGGGTCTGCTATACATGGCCCTCTACCCAGAAGTCCAAGGTAAGCATGCAGTGTGTGCTCCTGACCAGGGCAAGCGGTGCTCCTGAATGCAGGACAGCTTGGCAGCATGGAAAGGCAGGCAGCACAGCACTGAGATGATATCTACTTGGGTATGGGTACATGCTGCAAGTCTACTCTCAGGTTATGACTGGTCCAGGTAGTACAAGTGCTGCAGCAAGTTCCTGCCCTCAGGGAGCTCTGAGTCCAGGGGCAACAGTGAAGTCCATAATATTGTGATAAATTCCAGGAAAGAGTGGCAGTCTCAGTTGGAAATCCTCTCATAGAATTTCTCTTTACTGATGCCTTCTCTTTCTTTCTGTGGACTGGACACTGTCCAAAGTCCTTAGTGTGAAATGCAGTGCCCTCCAGTGTGCCCCATTTCTACCTGCCCTGGCAATCCCCAAATTGGTATATGGGGACTTCCCTAAATTGCATTTCATTCTCTTATCACTGTTGTTATTTATGCCTTCAACCTGACATCTGCTGTTCCCTTTACCATGAAGCTACTTCTTCACTTTCTCCACAGAATGTAATTATTGACCTCAGTGTACTCCATTGCTATTTATTACTGGCTTGGCAATTATTTGCATTTTCTTATGCAAGAAATGACGTAAAGCAACTCAACTAATGGGCTTATCACACAGTATTCTTATAACAACCCCCAGACTCTCATCCCTCCGTGGGCTTTGGCTGTTCCTATCCCTGTTATTCACACAGCTCTCAGAACAGTTTGAGCAGGTGGTGGATGGAGACTCTACAACACAATTTTCCAAACTGTGGATCACAATTTCATAAAGGGGCATAAAACAAGTTTTGTGGATCAAGACCAACTCTTTCTCATAAGATAAATAGATGAGATTGGATTGCTTCCCATGTATATTGATAACTTTCTTTATACTATCAGTGCCATATATTGATATAAAATTGATGCTTTATATGTGTGTTTATTTAGGTATATGCATCTTCATTCATGCTATAAAATGCAATTGTCACTGAGTAGTTTATTTTTTAAAAAAGAAGGTTAAACTTCTCACTTAGGATGTTGCATTAGGGTTCTCAAGGGGAATAGAATCAATAGAAAATATATGCATGATTATGCAAGGGATTTATTAAGTGAGCATACAGGGTGAGATGCAGAAGCATTCACAGTGACCCTCTGTAAGATGGAAAATCAGAGGATCTAGTATCTGTTCCAACTAAGAAGATGGAAGCTTCAGAACATGAGGGATCAAGGGTGTAAAACCAGTCAAAGTTCAAAGGCCTAGAAGCCCCCTGCAGACTCACCAATGTAAGTCTGCATTGGAAGGCTGAAGGCACTGGACAGCCATGTCCAAAGGCAATAGCCAAGGCTTGAGCTCTCCCAAAATGGGGGCACTGTCTTCTTCTCTCCTTTTTTTTATTCTATCCAGGATGGGTTGTCCCCGCTGGCTGAATTTGCTGACCTATGTGTCAGCCATGCACAGACACACCTAGAAGTGTGCTAATCTGGCAGGTGGTTCCTACTCAAGTCAAGTTAATCTATCACAATAATGTTCACAGATGGAAACTGGGCTCTGGAATAGAGGATCCAAAATAAGAATCATTTAAATTTATAGAAGTTTGCACCTATGTTCAGAGCAGCACAATTTTCAATAGCCAAGACGTGGAAGCAACCTAAGTGTTTATCCACCATGAAGGAGGAAGCAAAATGTGGAATACTCATGAAATGCAATATTATTCAATCTTAGAAAGGAATAAAATTCTGAGGTATGCTATAGCAAGAATATTGTTAGTAAACCAGGCACAATAGCAGAAGTGCTGCATGATTACACTTATATGAGGTAGGTAGAGCTGTCAGATTCATTGCAAACAAATGGAGAATGGTGGAACCCATGCGTTGGGAAAGGAGGAAATGAAGCTCCCTTTATGAATACAGAGTTTCGGTTTTGCAAGGTGAAAAATTTCAGAGACTGCACAACAATGAGAATATATTTCAAATCAATTAGCCATAAGTTAAAATGATTTAGATGGTACATTTTATGTTGTACATATTTACCCAATTAAAAGTATGGTACTTCAATTAATTTTCCTTCTTAAAAGTAGGCAGTAAACGAATGTTAGTTGTTTATTTCTCTCTCTGTAAAAGAACTATAGGCTTTGTAAAGCCCTTAGGATTCTAAAGAGCTTTTAACTGTTGCTCTGTTGTGTCTAGAATGAGGTCTTTCTTCTCACTCTCTAATACCCTGAGCAGGACGACTGCCTCTCCACATTAAGAAGTGAGGAAGGAAAAGGCAGCACACAACTTTCCTCCTTAGGGTTTGTGCAAGGATGAAACGTGTGTTGTGCTTACATTCCATTCACCAGAACTTAGTGACTTGGCCACATTGAGTCAAAAGAGAATCTGGGAAATGTAGTTTCCACCTGGAAAACCAAATATTCATCTGAAATCCCTATTAGTGTATAAAAAGAAGAAAACATATTGGGTGACAGGTAGCAGTTTCTATCCTTGTTTTTGACCCTCGCCTAAGTCAATTCATGTAAATCTCAAAGAATCCCCAAAATGAAGGAAAAGTTATGATTAATGATACAGGAACTTTGAGACTGAAAGGCCTTCAGTAGCTTGCAGCAATGATGTTGTAGAGCAAGAGTTTCCTGTCCAGTTTGGACTCACATGTCTCCTTGAGAAGTTAGAGTCCATAGATCTGCTGTGTCTGACAGTTTGTGTCCTCTCCACGAAATCCATATGTTGACACCTAATTAGCAATGTGATGGTACTGAGAATTGGGGGCCTTTGATGTGATTAGTGCTCCTGAGTGGGACTATTTGGGAAAAAAAAGTTTCAGAGAGCTGCATTGCTCCTTAGCACTTGTCAGCACACAGCAAGGAGGTGCAGTCTATGAGTGAGAATGAGGTCCTGCAGGCATCAAGTTTGTTGGGGATTGGATCTTGTATTTCCAAGGATCCAGAACTGAGAAATAAAATTCTGTAGTTTGTAAGGCAGTCACTGTAGGGAGCTTTATTATAGCAGCCTCAATTAGACATGACTGTTCTATGAACTTAGCTGTGCTCATCCTAGATATTCAGTTCCTTAGGACACCCAGGCTCAGGAAATTTAGAGCATTGGCAGTTTTCTAAATAAGCCCTAGAAAGGACCATTTTGTTGATTTGCAGATTGACCATAGCTGAAATCAAATAGGTAATCTCTAATAGAACATTACCATATCTATATAAAAATCATAAAATTTTAAGAAATAATTGAACCCCCATTGTCTTCCAGAAAAAGTACATGCTGAGATTGACAGAGTGGTTGGCCAGGGGCAGCAGCCAAGCTTGGCCAACCGAGAGTCCATGCCCTATACCAACGCTGTCATCCACGAGGTGCTGAGAATGGGCAACATCATTCCTCTGAATGTTCCCAGAGAAGTGAGTGTTGATACTGCTTTGGGTGGATACCACCTGCCAAAGGTAAGCAGACACTCTCTGAGCCTTTGTCTTTGAGCCTGTCTTAGACCTCATCCTAGAAAATTGTGAAACGTGTTCCAGTCCTAAGGAATCACTTACATGAGCAATGATGTATCATCCTTGTTTGTCTTAATGCCTGACATCCCCAACTTAGGGAAGAAAGGTTTATGTTGGCTCACAATTTGTAGAGGTGTCAATCCATGGTTAGGTGGCTCTGAGGCAGGATGATATGGCAGAGGTGTATGGTGCAGGGGATGCAGTGCATGGCATGGTGGGAAAAGGGAGAAATCCAGGGAGGAGAGAGGGAGACACACCAGTGCAGGTCATGCCCCCAGTCACCCACTTGCCCTGACCAGGCTTCTGTAACCTGCCAGACGTCATTTGGGAAATCGGTGACAAAGTCCCGTAGTTGTAGAATGTTAAGTGTGAAAGGACGTTTGAGACACTCAGCTCTCCAGTCACGCTAACACTGCTGTTTCTACCATGATTTCCCCGATAGTATCACTTCAACAACATCGACCTACAGCAAGGGGCTAGTCAGTTATGTCTGAGAAAAGAAGCTGTGAAATATTAATTATTATAAGAAGGACAAAGCACTTATTAAGCAACAATTATGTGCATTACAGTACTAGGCTGTTTCAAAATGTCTTAGTTCTCAGGATAAATTTTCTTTTATTTTATAGATTAAGGTGAGGCTCAGGAAAAATAGTTTTGCAAGAGATCTCTCAACTACAAAATGACGATAGTTGAAATCCAGAACGAGCTCTACGCTGATTATTTTCACTACATAATGCTCCTCTCAGGACTTGCTTTCATTTGACTGGGAAATAATCTCCCCTCAGTCCTTCTCCATTGGCCCCTGTTAAGTTTCCCATCTTCACCAACAGAAGACATCTCCTGCTACCAGGTCTTAAGATCCCCCACGGTCAACTTCTCTGTGTCCCTGTCATCTTCCGTGCACAAACCACATTTAGGTGTCTCCCTTGTGCTCTGGCCCACCTGCTCACCTGTGTGGATCTGTGCTAGTTTGTCTAAGTCCCTCTGAATGGGCTTCACTCAGTAACACTCTCCAGTGGAGGAGCCCGAAACCTGTCCCACTGAACACTGCCAGGTAGTGTCACTGCAGAGCCAGGAAGTCCTTCCTTTTTAACTGAGCATCTCCTGGGTGTGGCTGAGGTGTGAACACACCAGGTGCTCTTTGTATTTTTCAAACCATTCATCAACCTCCAGAGCACCAGGCCTTCTCGCTAAACTGCTTTTACCATTAATTTTTAGGTTCAGATTGCATAACCATACTCAACACTAAGAAATCTAATTGCACCTAGGTAGGAGCTGTGTCTTTGACTTAAGACAGTCCTAGTTTAAGAAATAGCTCCATGTCTGCCCACTCTGTGACTCGAAGTACATTATTAAACCTCAGGTCTTCAATTCCTTCATCTATAAAGTGCACTTAAACTCACCTCACAGGCTCCCCATGGAAGTAGATGTGATCTTATATGCAGAGCTTTATAACAATGATTACTTGGCATTAACCCAACAAATGCACATTGACTATGTGAAACATTTGGGTCTGAAAAACAACCCTGAGCAATATAAGGAAGGAAGCACCTTCTTAGAAATCATGATGAGTGGCCAAAGGAAAACTCACTGGCTCTGCAAAGATGCTCTCAGAATCCTCCAGGTAGAGTGACAGATAGGAGCCAGGAGCCAGATGACATGAGGAGGAGAGGCTTTTGAAGAAAGTGAGTTTGGAACCAACAATTAAAGAAGGGCAAGAAGTTAGTTTATGAAAAGGTAAATAGAAGAACCTTTTCCACAAAATAAACAACATGGAAACATGGTCTGTTAGAACAACCAGAGGAAGGCCACCTTAGTGGGAGCCCCAGTGTTATGGCTTGTGTCTAGATGTTCCCCCAAAACGCTCATGCAGGCATAGGTGTGGTATTTTGGAGGCAGCTCGATCCAGGGTGTGTGATGCTGGGATTAAAGCTACCTCAGCCTGAATGTGAGTGCTACTCACCCTAAGGACAAGGAGCCTGGATGGAATATAAGGGACAGAAAGAGGGATGCTGCCATTGCTTGCTGCTGCTTGTCTTCTGCTGTCTTCCGCCAACTCTGAGAAGCCATTTTGTCATGCCACCCTGCATTGTATCCAGCAAGTATGGACTGAAACCTCTATAAACTGTAGCTACAATAAACCTTTCCTGTTTTAACTTTGGGTGTCAGGTGTTTTGTCCCAGCAATAAGAATAGTAAGTAAGACACCAGACAACACAGGAAGGAGGGTCCTGGTGAATCAGAGGATGGGTTTGTGACTTGAGAATGTCAGTAAGCATTCAAGAATATTCAAGTGTGAGTTCTGAGTACATGGGCAATGTGACATGATTAAGTCATGTTCAAAGCACACTCAGCTCCCCGGATGTGGAGTAGTTTCAAAGGGCTAGGAAGGGGCAGAGTTAGGAGGCATTACAGAAACCTAGGTGCACAGGCAGAAGCCTCAAAATGGAGCCTGTTGTGGACAGGGAATGGAGGTGACAGAATGAACTGATAGGTAAATTGACCAGCCTCACCGATGGGTCCTATGAGGAAGCATGAGGGAAAGGCTCACTCTCTTCCCTCCAGGATTTCTGGTCCTGTGGTGGAGGAATGGAGGTTCCTGGCCTTGGCCACCTGTTAGTGTTACTAACCCTGCTGTGAGTGGGGAGAGCAGTTGATACTGGAGGTTAGAGAATGAAGACTCACAAGAGAAGGTGATGTCTTTCCCTCTGCAGAGTTGCTGTGGTCATCAGATCACTGAGGAGCTGGGTGGTTTGGTCACAGTGTATGCTGCCTGGCTGTCACATTGCTCTGTCCTCAGTACCTACATGTCCCTTCCTAACCTGACACTGACATCTGTCTGTAGATTAAACCCATTTGACACTCAGAAATAGTCTAACCTCTCTGGAACATTCCCGGCAGGCAATGCCAGTGTGTCCTCCTGAGTGGTCCTGTGAACAAATATAGGATCCTGGAGACTGAGCTCAAGGGTCTCAGGACTAGGCAGGGTGCGGGAGCTGAGTCCAGGGAGCCCAGGACCCTGTCCCTGTGCCTGAGTGTGTTGCATGGCTCAAGCCTCCCCTGACTCTCTGCTGCCTTTTCTAGGGAACCATGATCGTGACTAATTTGACTGCACTGCACAGGGACCCCACAGAGTGGGCAACTCCAGACACATTCAACCCAGAGCATTTTCTGGAAAATGGACAGTTTAAGAAGAGGGAATCCTTCCTACCTTTCTCACTAGGTGAGTTGTGAGGACAGGAGTGAGATCACAAGTGTTCCTCCCTCCAGTCTTCCTCCTCTTCTCTGTAGTCCTTGCCTTTGAATAAAATTCCTCCACTTGGCCCAGCCCAGCAGGACTCCATGTTGCTGTTGGCTGCAGCCCAGCAGTCCCTGGATTCCACATTGGTTCAGATCCTCCCTGATACTCAGTCATTCCCTTTCCTCTGATGGAGTTTTCATGTTTCCTAAGATCAGTTCTCCACAGTAATAGAGACGGTGAGAGAGACTCACACCCTGACTCTTGCCCACAAAGAAGGTTGGACATCTGCCAGCTTCATAGAGAGTTTAATTGTCACAATTTCTTCTCAAATTCACAAATTCAGCCCACACCAAATTAGAGACGATATTTAAATACAGAGATTGGGAGGCAGCAAGGGAGAGCAGCTCCCTAATTACCTCATGGGCACCAGAGTGTGACTTGAATACCACCACTCAACTACATTGGGTTATGCTTTATAAGACATTCTTAGAGACTTCTTTTTGCCTCTATAAATTTTCATTACTTTTTAAAAGTCAAGCTAGTAAATATGTATTTTATGCAACATGAACAGTAGAAAGGCTGATTCAGTGAAATCTCTTTCTCTTTTATTTTCTATCCACTTCCAAATGGCTTTTTGAAACACCTAACATCATAAAATCTATAGCAAATTATCTTATTGTATTCCAAACATTTTGTTATATATGTTGCATGAATTTTCAAAAAAATGTTGCACATTTATAAATTACATATATAGGAGCTGGGGATTTAGCCCAGTGGTTTCGCAGCCTTCTGCGTAAGCAGAAGGACCCAAGTTCAATCCCCGGTACCAAAATAAATAAATAAA